CACCTGCGGTGAAAGTCATTGGCATGGTCCTGCAGATCCTGCAGGAGTCTGTCACGGCTGTGGTCCCTCCTGTCCCCCTCCCTCCACCTCCCCGCTACGCAGGGGCCATGTCCCCCCTCCCTCCGCCTCCCCCCAACGCAGGGGGCTGTGCGGACACTTTTCTTCCCTGAGGGGCCGCTGCTTCGTCCACACGCCTCCCCTCTTCCTAAGTCTCCTGCCCCCCAAATTACATCCAGACAGTGGCAGTAGCAGGCAGCCCCCTCTTCCAGTCGGGGGCCCGCCAGCCAGCCAAATGGGGCGTTTAATTGGAAGGAGAAGCTGGCCGGCTGCCTGGACATCTTAAAGAACCAGCGGGGTGGCCCGGGGGTCTGTGGGCACTTGAAGGGTTCTGTTCTTGAAGCCATGGAAGAACGAAAGCACCCTCAGAGCCTCATGGCGGCAGACACCCCCCTCCCCGGCCCTGGTGGGCCCTTTGTGCCGGTGGAGCCCTGGCACTCTGTATAGATGGGGAAACCGAGGCAGCTCAGAGGTGGAGAAGAACCTCAAGTTGGTTTGGGTTTCCACATGTCAAGTGGGAGGTTCTCTCTGGAGAGACACCCCCATGCACTTATCTGACATCTTGGAGCCTCCTGCTGGGGTTCCCCCAAAACCCTTGTGTCCCACTGGGTGAGCCCCGAGCCTGGGGACAGTAGTGTGACCAGCCACGGGCCCAGGGGAGTGGAAGTCACGTGGTCTCCACGTCGGGGCGGGGCCGTCTCCCCCCACGCTCCTCCCTCTGCATCACGGGACATGGACACAGCTGGGTCCCCAGCTGCCCTTGGGGCCTGGGCCTCCGGGCCCGGGGCTCCGCCATGACCTGGGCAGCTCTGAGCCCCCTGCCTCAGTCCTCCCATTGCCAAATGGGACAGAAGCGTTCCCGGGGGAAGCCCCATGCTGCGCTCTGGTCAGAGCCTGGATGGTCCTGAAGGCGCGGTAGCCGTGACCAGCGTCTCAGAGGTGGCCATGGTCAGCGTTGTGACGGCGATGAGGGCAGTGGTGGTGCTGGTGCTGATGGTGGTGATAATCCTGATGGTGACACGGTGTGGCACGAAGATGCTGTCGCGGTGATGTCATGCTGGCCGTGAGCAGCCCCCCCTCCTGAGTGTCAGCTCTGCACATCCCCCCTTCTCTCTGTCCCCACCAGCTACCTTGTGACCTCAGTGTGGGCCTGGAGTGCGTGTCTCCCTGGGACTCAGTGGTCTTCGATGGGGTACAGAAGCCTGGGGACCCGTGGGGAATTCAGGCAGATGCCCCTGGACCCCGTCTCTCTCGGGCTCCCTTCTGTCTCTGGCTGTGGCTCCGCCAGCCGTGGCGTGGTGGGCAGCAGCGATCAGGGTCTTGGGAGGGTGTTGGCTCCAAGAGACCCCTCCCCCGTCTCCGGAAACAATTTCTGGAATCCGACTTCACCGGCCTGGCATGGGAGGCCGTGGCTGGTTGAAGGGGGGCCGGGCGCCCTGGCGGCCGTGTGGTGACCGCTGCATACAGAACCATTTGGCAAATTCCTTCTGCATCAGCCTCTCTCCCAGCTAAGATGCGCGGGCTTTGCCAGCTACGTTTTTAGGGATCTTAATGAAACGCACGACCCCCGGCTGGGAAGTTGGACTGTCCCAAGGCCCCCTTCCCTGTCCCAGGACCCCCTTCTCCAGAGAGAGGCAGCTGGCCCAGGGGAGGCCAATGTCAACCTCCCATCCTCCCTTTCAGCGCCTCCCCAACCTGCTGAGCGCTTGGAAATTGTGCCACTGACAGAGGCGCTTTGAGGCCTAGGGCTGGGTGGTCAGGGCCCCGGCAGCCGGCGGGAGGCCCTGGGGGACCAGGGCTCCGGCTCCACCCTCATCAGGCCGGCCTTTCATGCCCAGTCACATAAGCCAGATGGGACTCTGGGGCTGGAGGGGACGGGACAGGGCGGCGTGGGGGGTGCGTGCGGCCCGCAGCTCGGGCTGGCTGTGGGCCAGGAGAGGGGCGGTGGCCCCAGTGGCGGCGTTCAAACACCGTGAGTTTTCAGCACGGGTGGCGGCATGGAGACCGGGAGGTGCCATCGGCCCCGCTCTGTCCTGTGAGCCCAGCCCAGAGCAACGGCGGCTCTGCCCCCAGTCACCCCAAGGGTCCCAGGGAATGCTAGCAGCTGCATCACGGAAGCCTGGACATCCACATTGGGCACATGGTGGGCTCAGGATTCTGGTGTCTCCATGCCTCTGTCTGACGGCGGCCGGAGCCCCAAAGGACACCCAGGTCTGAGGACTTTGGGGCTGTTCCCAGCAGCACCCCAATCCATCGTTCTGTCCCTCGGGTGCTTCTCTAGACAAGGGCGGTGCGGCCTCAGCCAGCCCACGTGCCTGCCAGGCAGGGGCGGCAGGGCCCGGTGTGTGGGGCCCGGGCCGGCGCATGGGGCTCAGGCCTCGAGGGGCTCGGCCTGCGGCCTGTGCGGTGCTGTCCTTCAGCCCCACGTTAGCAGCCCAGCCTCGGCTTTCCAGCAGTGTGGGGGGAACCCACCGCGGCTCCTTCCGAAGGCTTTGGGGGGACGGCTGAACCCCAAACCCCAGGTGGCCAGGGCCTTGAGCCCACCTGGCCCAGGTCTCGAGACCGCGCTCGGCTGAGCCCACACTTGACGGGCTAATGCTTCTGGACCAACATTTGTCACCAAAAACACACACAGAACACAAGCCCCAAGGGGTTTTGTTGGGGGCTAGAATGGAATTGCACCCACGAGCGCGCTGCGCGGGAAAGGGACTGCGTGAAGCCACAATACATCCAGTGACGACAGGAAACAAGCGGGCGCTTCACCAGCCTGAGCCACAGGGAACCGGGGGGGAGGGGAAAGAAATTCACGGGGTGAACTTACAGAGGCTGTAGCAGTGAATGAGGGATGAAGGCTGGACATCACCCTCCAGTGGGGGACCTTCTTCCCCCAGACTGAGCGGTGCTGACTGTGCTGTGACAGGTGACTGAGCAGTGCTGACCGTGCTCCATTCCATCCAGCCTTGTGTTGGTGCTAGGTCCCTTGAAGAGCCGGAGGGCTGTGGTAGAGTCCGGTGTGGGCTTCCCCTTGAGGTCTCCCGGGGTGTCAGGTGTGTGGCTGTTCCCCTTCACCTCACCCTGTCAGAAGCCCCACCAGAGGCTGAGGCCTCAGGGGGTCCCGGTTGGTGTCGGGGAGAAGGGCCGTGTGTGCCCTGTGTGCTCCCGTGCATTGTCACTGACATGTATGTAAGCCTGTACCGGGTCTGTGCCTGCATGTGCACGGGTGTGAGCACAGGCCTGCATGTGTACCTGTTTACATGCGCGTGCATGCATGGGCTCATCCACGGTGCCTGTGGGCCTGTGCACTGGAGCTGGGCCTGTGTGATGCCCACGCGTGTGCACACAGGTGCATGGCTGCCCTCTGCCCTCGGCGCCTGTGTCCTCCCCAGGGGTCTTCCGGGGCCTCCCCCTCACTCTCCCAGGGTCTGGGGAGTCCCCCTCACTTGCCCAGGGTCACAGGTCAGGGTCCTCTTGGCAGGGGCTCATTTCATAGAAGCCGGCCCAGAGGGGCCGGACGGGATCGGGGCGGCACTTCTGTCCCTGCCGAGCTGGGTGGGGCCGAGCAGAGCCCAGGACAGGCACTCAGGGGCCTCCTCGGGGCCCAGCCCCATCCTCAGAGTAGGTGCTGTGGGTGGCGCTGTTAACGGGCCTGTTGGGGTGTCTGGGAGGGAGGGGCCTGCTGGCCAGGGCGCGGGAGGCCAGGGTTCTGGGTGCCACGGCTGTGGTGGGCTCTGTGGTACCTGCTCTCGGGCCTCCCTGGGTGACGGGCAGAGGCGCTGCCCTGTGGGACGGGTCTCCTCCACCTCCCGTGAGGCCTAGGCCCCCGGGACCCCCACAGCGGAGCGGGGAAATGTTAGGGCCGTCACTGGGAGCAGATGCCCTCAGCCCGGTGCGGAGAGGTTGGGTTGGGTACCGGGACCCGGCTTTGACCTTGGCAGGTGCGACCCCTTCTGCATGGTGGGCTCTCTGTGTCAGGATTGGGGGGCTGCCGAGCCTGGGGAGTGCTGGCTAATTTGGGGTGTTCCCTCTGCTGGGCTCTGGCCATGGTATCCCTCAGCCAACGTAGCCTCCATGCTGGCCTCCAGGTGTTACGGTCTGGCCCAGGGCAGCATCTGCCCAGCGAGGGGGGAAGGGGTCCCCACTCCTCTCCCACTCCTTCCAGACACATACAGTGGGGAGCACTGGGCCCCTGGACTCAGTTTCCCCATCCTGTTCTCCCGCGGAACACCAGCCAGCTTTAGCCTCATCTTTCTGTAAGCCAGAGCTCTGTGGAAAACCAGGAAAGGCATGCTGAGAGGGGACAGGGATGGACAGACGGACAGCGACAGACGGTGACTCCACACGGCCTGAGCCCGCCCGCCGGCCCAGGCTCTGGCCCACGTGTCAGGGGCCTGGCTCTGAGGGGTGGCTGCGCCCCACTGGCCCCTGGGGGCCCCGACGGGGGTTCCTGGGGGTCCCTGGCCCCTGCCCATGGCTCTACACTTGACTGGCTCTGAGTTCACTGGCCTGAAATAATGTCCCCAATACAAGGGACATTCGGGCGGACGGTTAGCTTTTTCCCCCTCTTTCCTTAATACATTAAACATGCATTGCTGGATTTCCACCCCAGCCTCTGACAGCTGCAGAAAAAATAAAGAAAATTCAGTTTGAACTTAAAAAGCCAGGGCTTCATTTATGTCCTGTACCTTTGTCTGCGGGGCCTTTCTCCTCCCCGGACGGTGGGGGCCCCGGGGGGCGGGCAGAGGCTCGGGCCCCACGTGGCCCCACGGGCTGGCCTTCATGGGGGCCCAGGGCCTGGCAGGGCGGGGGTTTTCTCATGGAAATGGCCAGAACAATGCAATCATCTGTCCCGCAATCTGTTTTGAGGGGGAAAGGATGGGCGGGGAGAGGAGAGGCTCCAGTTGGACGGGGGGCTCCATTCAGGCCCCCCACGCAGGGACAGACAGATGCCGGGGGCACTCACGTGTGGCCTGCGGGCCGCCACGCTGGGCATGAGGGCCAGAGTGCCGGAGGCGGGCCGCCGGGCATGCGAGCGGGTGTGCCGACGGGGTGCGGCCACCCCTGACTGTGTCCCTATGGGGCTGTGCTCACCCCTGACTGTGTGCTGACGGGGTGTGCTCACCCCTGACTGTGTGCTGACGGGGTGTGCTCACCCCTGACTGTGTGCTGACGGGGTGTGCTCACTCCTGACTGTGTGCTGACGGGGTGTGCTCACTCCTGACTGTGTGCTGACGGG